TATATTGTTTTCTCCTATGTACTCAAATATAGTCCAATAAAGGGTATAAATGAAACAATGTACAGAATATGATAAATACTTAGAAAAGAGAATAAACAAATATTGAAATATGTTGGTTTTAAATACAATATTGTCATCCTAAACTCCTTTATAAATTTTACTTTCTTAGACCTTTGCTAGCAGTTGCTTATAATCTAGGATTTTACTTTACACAGATGCATTACAATCTTGCAGCTACTTGTACTCTTGTGGAAAGAGCTCTGTTACATTTTGTCAACATTATTTGTGATTTTCTTCCTTTTCATGGAAATACAAATTTTTCTCAAGCCAGAATTGATAGTTGTCCTTCCTTCCGTCTTCCAGCATGTTCCATCTGTGTCTTCCAATTAGGGTACAGTATACATCATGTCACCCTTCTTTTATTAAAATATTTCCCTGTGTATATTAAAATGGGAATTGTGCACTCTGTGCCTGTGGAACTTAGCATGTATTCTAGAGACACATCACTAAGTATTAGGTTCTGTCTGTGACCCTGTTTGTCTTGACAAATCACAAGGACTCCTGTGAGAATCATTAATCCCCTCCCATAAATCAGTGTTATAGTACACTAAATGTAAACCTGTGGCCTGCAAGAAAGAATGCACCTCTCCAAATTATCCTAATGTGCTCCAAGAGTGGGTTGATAGCTCATTGACAAAGTCTCTGGCAATAATGTGAGGTGTTTTAATTTGTGCCTTCCCTCCAGTTAATACAAAATCACCAGTCCTAACATGGAATGATTTATCTTCTCATAAGAACATAGCACAGCTGCATGGGAACTCCATGCTCAATGGAGTTTCGGGAATAGAGCACCTTAATGTAACATTGGATCTGACGCTTGTTTAACTCAGTTATTTACACGACATACTAAATTCAAAACATTTACAAAAACCCCTACTGAGGATAATTCTTATACTTCGATGATACAAGTTTTGTCCTTGAAAAGCTGGTTCAGAAGAATTCATATTTGCTATTTGCAGATTTTTAAAAATTCAGCTTATTGCTCCGTGCCTCAGTTAAATTCCACGGAAAACATTTATGAGTTATTCTGAGGGACGTCCAAAACAGAAGACAGTATTTTTTGCAGGCAAGTAAATAGTTCTCTCTTTAAATTAAATAGAAAACTACGTAGCCATGGCTCCGAGGAGCTCAACCGTGTCCCTGTGATGCCGCCGGTTTCGCTTCTTCTTCATTTCCTGCATGTGCTTCCACTTTGGGCCGCCCTTGTTGCGCTGTCTCCGCTTCTCCCTGTGCCACATCTGTTCGCAGTACTGGTCCAAGCTGAAGTTTGGGCTGCTAAGGATTTGGATGTAGTCTTTGTATCTCAACCGTGACTCAGCCAATAGATCCTTGACCTGCCCCTCCTCATGCTCTGCCCTCTGGGTATTTTCCATCTGTTCGTTCTCAATGACATTCAAAGTCAGCTTCACTACGGTGTGGATGAAAGTGTGCTCCTGTGCTTTGCAGTAATACATCCCAGAGTCCCTCTTCTGCAGACTTCGAATCAGTAGCCCATAGTCAGTTTTGATGATCCTTTCATCAGGTTTCAACTGCAGGATTGGAAAAATGTAGGTAATAAATTAGAAACAGAGAGAGACATGAAATGAAAACAGGCCACATAGTTTTACTTAGATGAACCTAACAGATATATTCCTCATCTTTCTGTCATCAAACATAATGTTGTCAGCTATAGTTGAAGAGGGCAAATAAAATCAGCTAAACTAGTAGCCCCCAAACCATATCCTAAATTCTCTACATTTCTCTCTTATTAAGTCTAAGGGAACCTTTGGAATCCATTTAGTTTTTCTCTCTGGTGTAGAGATAAGAATGAAATGCTGTGAGAAACACTGAAGTAAAACTTACATTATCAAGTGATCGTCACAGAGATAGGTTAGAAATCAGAATCCTAACATCACAAGCTGGCTTTTCTATTTGAGAGGGTGAATGTAAGACAAATCACCATTATATAGAAGAAGAATTTAGAGCATCCCACTCTCTGAGATGAGAACAGAGCAATGGAATTGGCTGTTTTCTAGATAGCACCGAATAATGATCTGAATAGCATCTGGAGGCCAGAAGTTGTGACTTGTGAAAAGCAAAGCCAAAAAGTGTGGCTACAGCTTGTGGTCAGAACTCTAAATGAGCAAGAGTGTAGTAAGGCGGCTAGTATTTGAAGCTAGATTTCCCCTATTACTAAGATCTGAATTTTGATCCTTTGGATGACGCCACTTGTGAAAATTTTTGTCATACCTCTTGGGGATACTCTAACAGAGTAATGTGATTTCAGGTGTGAGAATGCACAATGAACAAAAAAGATTTTCCTCTGAAATATGATGCTCAACCCTTTGAAGTTTGGTACTGAAAGACAATTCAAATGTTAAACTTGCCCCACCCACAAATGCTGTGACTAATGAACTATCTGCAGGGTAGCAGGGCCATGTTTACTATCACAGGAACGTTGTTTAAATGCGGTGAATCATTGAATGGCTAGGCATGAAGAATAACAACAACAACAACAACGACAACAACAACAAGGAAACCGGGAAGATTTCCCAGCTTGCACATCTGCCCCTGTATTAGAAACTTCTAGCTGATGGAAATGAAAGGCATAAAGCCAGCTAAATTAAATGTATTCACAGTGGGTGGACTACACTCTACATTCTTATGTGAAAATATGCAGAAAAAAATCTCTCATTCTGGAAATATGAGAAAAAAGAAAGAAACATCTTTGGCTACCAGCCCGGTTAACAAGTATATGGCTACCACCCTCTGTGCCAGAGAAGTGCAGCTGGCGGGATACCATCTGAGGTCAAAGGCAGGTCACAATTCAGATCCTGGGTAATGAAACTAAATGGTCTCCAGGCCTGCCTTGCATCACCCTGAGTCCATCCACATCATCAGGCTTTTGCTTACTTGTTTGTTTGTGTCCCTTCCTTTACCCATTTGGTGATTTTGATATTTTCCCAATGGATTGATTGTGAAGGATCTGACATCTTAAAGTGCTATTGTAATACAAACCAACTTCAAATTCCTTTATACTCTCAAACGATAGGAAGTTCTTGCCTAAAATAAACGTGAATTTGTATTCATAGACTTCTAAAGGAACATTTTTAAACAGAAATGGCAGGCTCAAATTTAACATAGAATATATTTTCCCTTTAAATAATTTTATTATACTTATTTCTAAAGTACAAATACATCTTAGATCACAAAATACTTGCTCTATAAACATTGGTCTTGAGGGCCGGAGAAATGGCTCCTCCAGCTGTTAAGAGTACTGGCTGCTTTTGCCGAGGACCCCGGATTCGATTCCCAGCACCCACGTGACAGCTAACAACCATTCATAACACCAGTCCTAGGGGAATCCAACACCATCTCTTGACCTTTGTGTGCATTGCACAACACGGGTACACACACACACATGCAGGCCATGCACTCATACACTAAAATAAAAATAATAAATCAAACATGGATGCTGGACTCTATCTGCTCTCTGCTTCCTTTTGATTCTTTTATCTTCTGTAGCGATCTCCCGCCTAGTCAGTTTCCATGGGGTGTGTTGGGGATTAAAAGCAAAGCTCTTTGGAAGTTAAAGTGTGAAGCATTAGCAGCATCACTGCTGTCATGTTGATTGACAGGTAATGTGCTAAAGGTTTTATTTTACAGAAAATGTCCTGAGGCCATCAGTATGACACAGTGGTACCTGCAGGTCTAGTTCATCTCTAGATTCCTTGTATTCAGTCTGTATATGACATACTTAAGCTGCATCTACTGCGGCTTTCAGAGATCCTCCCCGTTCCTACTGGGTACTTTCTAATTGTTTTCTTTGAACTTTTGAAAGGAAGTAATGATGACTTCAACCTCACACATTGTGTGCAACACTTCATCATCGCTTGGGCTCTTCTGCATCCTGTTTATGTTGCTTTATCGTGTGTCCACATCCCTTGCCTCTTTACCACCTTAGTTCCCACTCCACAAGACTGGACACTTCACGAACACCTGGCATTTCATTACTGGGTCATGATCCTTCACCTTTTCCTCTATGGAATAATAACTTAGTCTTTGGTATTTTGACTTACAGATGTAAAACATGATTTAAAACTATTTGAGCTACATAGATTTTACCCAGGTTTATTATACCATTTGATGAATTTTTGTTTCCTTTATAAAATTTCCAAAAGTGTGGCTTTAATGAAATGATGTTTCTAATGAAAGCCATTTTGAATTCATGCAGTTGAGAAGATTCTTACAACTTAAGAGATAAAAATCTGTGACTAGAAATCAAAACATTGATTATGATCCATCCACTTTACAGCCTCTCTCTGCATTGCTTCCATTTTGTGCTTGTATGAGATCATCATCACACTGTATGCACACTCTGAGATGCCAGCAAAGCCAATTTAGAAAAGTCAGTTCCTCTCAGAGAGGTAACTTAATTCTTGACCAGTGATTCAAACTTGTAGATTTTTTTTTTCTACTCTAGAAGTGTTAAGCAGAAACTTCAGTAGCGTCAGAAACAAAACATTCTTCAGCTCAGGTCAGCTGTCCATTTGCCTAAAGTGACCAAGCCTACTACATCTGCCATTTGTGAAAGGCAATTCATTTAAATGGAAGAACATGAGTAAACACCAAAGAATTCAGGTGAAGGACTTGGCACATTCTGCTAAGAGCAGGGAAAGGACTGAAAGCATTCCTCAGTTCTTGGAAAACACTAGAGCTTCAAGAATAATCCTTTCTTCCCCAAATGGGAAATGTTAGTATAGGGAAACGGCATTAAATAAGAAAGCTCCTAAAATGCAAAAAAAGAAAAAGAATGTCTATAAGCTTGTTGTAAAAATGTACATGTATTTAAAATAAAACACTGAAAACTTTTCTAATTTAATGTAGAAGAAAGGAAAAAGATTGATTGAAAGAACAATCTGTTATGTATTGTTAGTTTTCTCAGAGTATACTTACATATGATTGTATGGGATGAAACATTTATTAATATAATAACCAATAATCTTTTTAGGCAAACATAAAAAAGAAATATAGTGCTAAAGCAGCTGAATCATTATTTTGAATAAATCAAATTTATACATAAATTTTGGAACAACTTTATATCTTTGAGAAAATGTAAATATAAAAATGTATGGTGTAAGTATAAAATAATGAAGAAAAACATGCTGTCTTCTTGCGGAAAGAGTCTTAGGCAAAATAGTTGAAAAGTTATAGACCCATAAATGAGTAGATTTGCCTATATCAAATATAACATTGTAAAAATGTAAGAACAGTTACCAACAAGAAATTAAAAGATATGTAATGAAATTACTTATAATATTTTAATATCAAATTATTAGTCTCCATAATATATAAATGTCTTGATTACCTGTTTATGTGACTCTGTCAATGAAAAATACGTAGAGAAATAAGGCAATTCACAAGACATCACTGAAATGCACAGCTAAGAAGTGTGAGAACACATGCTCACACACTATTATTCAAATAAGTAAATGTTACCACAACACTTTTTCAAATTGCTAAAATGTTCTGAAATTATGATGCACAGCTTCGCTTTAGTGAGGACCATGTGCTATTATGGTGATTTTGATGGAAAAATCAAAAGATATAATAACCAATGTCTTCAACCTCTTTTGCTTTTAGGAATTTGTCCTAAGTAGAAGAGTTACACATATTTAGATATAAGGAAATTATTATTTTTTAACAGAAAATGTGAGCTACTTAGAGAGTGCTCCTGGATGACTGGGGCTTCCAGTGTGGGTAAAAGAGAGACCAAAAAAAAAACAAAACAAAAAACAAAAAACAAATCCCCATGATATTTGCTATTAAGAGAATGATGTGGGAAAGTGCTTCCAGTTCAATAAAGACACTGGAACTGAATAAACCCAAAATATTCCACATGTTTATCTACACTAAGTGGCCTCATGGTTCTTTATGCATTGTCACAATTTCAGAATTCTTTATTTGCTTTCATAACAAAAAGAAAGAAAGCAAAACAAAGAACTACAAATGGAAAATGCAGGTATCTGAAGATGTTTTAAAAACACTCAAATCCACAGACTAAAAACAGTATGGTAAATGGCAGGGGGTATTGCCTCTTTTATTCATTAAAGTTATTCCAAAAGTTCAACAGAAGCTTGGGGACTGCCGATTAACTTGCTAGTTACAGCATAAACATCATCAATTTCAAGAACAGCTTTATAAGAAAGTCAGCAGATAACTGACTCATGACCTCCTCAACAGCACCCAACTGTGACATGGCTCAGTAAGGAAATTGTCTCCTCCTGGCACAGAATAACCTGGTGACAGCATTGTGTCCCGGAGGATTGTGGTCCCTCCCTTGGGTGTTTTATGAGTGAAGGAAAGATTCCAAACTGTGACCTTATGAGTAAAGAGCAGAAGGCATCCTGCTGGGAAAAATGCTTCAAGTGCAGCCTGGATATTACGCTGTTCCTCAACTCAGGAAGCAGTATTGCATATCCTGGACAATGTGAACCTGCCCATTTGTAAAGACAGATGAAAATACTAGCTGAAATATTGCAGCCAACGTACTTTTAAGCCAAATTCAATAAACACACTATTTCTGCCCCATTAAAATTCATGGAGCATAGTGCCATCATGACTACGTGATATACTGTCATAAGGTATATTAAAGTTACATGTAGAATTTTCAGAAAAATAAAGGAATTGGGTGCAAGCAACCATAGGCGAATGGAAGGATCTCTGGCTGGAAGATTACCTCAAGCAGTATCACACTTTTCATTAAGAAAGTCAAATTAAATTTGCTATAGAGGATAAATCATGTTTAAGTAATTGTATTTGATGAAAAGAAATGTTCACAGTGCAGTAGCTCTAAAATTTACACACCATTTCTTCCCATTTAAAATTAAAACATCAAAATGTAGCCAAGGTATATCAGCATCTTAAAATGCAGAAAATATTCAGTATTTCTTGTGTAAAGAAAAAATAGCTCGTATTTTAAAATTGAACAAGCATTACAATATCAGATACTTCAATATATAGTTGAATTAAGGAACTGCAGGTGAATATTGAGTGTGTATATGCACTTTCCTAATCTTCGAGTTTGGAAAACAGAATCAAGTTTGATTGGAGAAATGTGAAATCATAAGGAATGGAGCTATTCCTATGGTACTATGGTATTAATTATGTAAAGTAAGAATTTTGATAGAAAATGCTTGTATATCTTAAATGATGATACTGATATTAACGTCTTCCTGTAACAGTGGAATTATGTCTTTAAATCAGTTTCTTTTGATACAATACGACTCCTAATCTACATGAACTGAAATTTGGAGTTGGGCAAGAAAAATCAGTCAAAGCCAGACCAGTATCATCTTCTGTGCCACATATCCTCACTGATAAAACATTTATAATTTTCTATGCATAGTTATAGGGGTGAGGACCTCTCTTTTGAAGCTATGTTCTCTATATTTTCTATTGGTTTTGTTATATACACAATATATTTCAATCATAATTATGTGTTAAGAAAGCTAACAAAAAAATCAAAGAATAAATATTACTTTTCTCTGTGATGACTTAATTTTAATACATAAAACTAAAAATTCATATATGTTCAAATACTTATTCAATTTTTTCTTTTGATATGATGTAAAAAAAAATAGATGCTCCTGTTTTATACATACTCAGCATGTTTCATTTTGTTACCTAGTGTGATGGTTTGAATGAAAGTGTCCCCTATAGGCTCCAAGTATTTGGACATTTTGTCCCCAGATGATGGCACTGTTTTGGGAGGTCTTAGAAGGTGTGGCTATCCTGGAGGAAGCATGTCATTGGGGGTGGGCTTAGAGAGTTCTTAAGCCTTGCCAGATCTCCAGTCACTCTCTTGCTTCCTGATGATGTGAGAGCTTAGCTTCTGCTGCTCCTGCTCTGGCCAACTCCAGCCACTATGCCTCTCTGCCATGATGGACTGTAATTCCCCTGGAACCGTAAGCTCAAATAAACTCTTCCTCTATAAATTGCTTTGGTCAGCATTTCTATCACAGCAACAGAAAAGTGACTAATACACCTAGAGTGAGCAGAACGTTGCTTAAAATTTAGAGACGTTATTATTGTGTTGAAAAATACCGTGGTCAGGGGCTGAAGAGATGGATCAGTGGTTAAGAACATTTATTGCTCTTCCAAAGGACTCTAGGTCAGTTCTTAGCACCCACATGGTAGCTAACACCCATCCGCAACTCCAATTCCAAGAGATTCACACCTTCTTCTAGTCTCATGGGCACCAGGCACACATATAATTCACTTACATACATGCAGACAAAACACACATATACATAAAATAAAAGTAAGTAAAATCTTTAAAAAATGTTGTGTTCTCATCTTTGCCAGAAAACTGTCTTGAAATGTTAGAAACCTATAGTAATAAAATTTTGAGGAGCTGGAGAGATGGCTCAGTGATTAAGAGCCCTTTCTGCTTTTACAGAGGACCCAGATTGGGATCTCAGCACCTACATGGTAGCCTATAAATGCCTATAATTCCAGTTTCAGTAAACCAAATGCTCTCATCTAGCCTTACATATACTTGGTGCACATACATACACTCATACACATAAGCGTTCATACACATAAAATAAAAATGAATTTAAGGATTGGAGAAATGGCTCAGTGATTAAGAACATTTCCTGCTTTTGCAGGCCCAGTTTCGGTTCCCAACACCCATATGGTGGCACACAAATGCCTGAAACTCCATTTCCAGGAAATCTGAATCTGACACCCTCTTTTGGCCACCAAGAACATTACATTGCATACATGGAAGCAAAAAATTATATACATAACAAAAAATAAATAAAATTTTAAAAATTGGAAAGAAAAACAACACAAATGCTTAAATATGTGTATTAACATGATTTAGTTGCATTAAATTTACTTGGTCTTAGACTAAAACCATTGCTACTTCTCCTGTTAGTGGACATAAACTGTTATATTTACCAGTGACGAGAGTGAATCCTGACACTCAAAGTTGAACATAGTTTATGACCATAAACATGATTTAAGTTTTACAGTGGGCATGTTTATTGATGGTCTCTTACCTCCTCTCGATGTTCATCTCCTGACCGCTGGATGTACCACTTAATGGATGCTTGTTGGGATTTAGGTATGCATTCCAGAAAGGTTGAATTAAATTCAATTCCAAAAATCACCTTTTCGTCAGCTGTTTCATGACTAATGCCTAGAAAGCAAACATGGAATTGGAGATTAACCTTGACCTGATTTTAAAAGCAATGGGAAAACAGACTGATTTAGAACAGATGCCATTGGGAAAGGATCATACATGTTATTAAAGAGAAAGGAAATTCATTTTATAATACTGTTACCTAAGAGTCAAATATTATCAAACACATTGAAATTTTAAACTACATCTGTATCACAATTTTAGTTTTTCATCACATTTTATGAAATGCAATTGTCTTTTAAGAAATAATGGTTTACAAGAGGTAATACCTAATACTGTAACTTTCTCTTTGTTGAAAACGTTTTTCTGTGTCTTTTAATTGTTTTAAAATCATTACTCAACCTGCAGTTAGCTCTCGAAGAACATTTAGTTTTATAGAGAAAGTATGTTTAAATCGGTCCACAGGGCTGACCAAATAACACTCAGAAATGTCATTGTCAGTGAACTTAGTACAGTAGTCCATACTTGACAAAATCCTGTGAAAGGTACAGGCCAGAAACCCTGACTGACCCTTGGGACCCTCTCTCTTTTGCCTTCCATTTTGTTTTAGCAGAGATTCTTTAGTTAGCATGCATTTACCAAGAGCCAGTTAAAAAAATGCCAAGGAAGGAGTGTTTTGAACATCTTATTCTCACAAGTCAGCCACATTATCTGAAATACCTTTCATTCAGGGCACTCAATGTCTATTTCCCATGTGGAATATAGTCTTTATCTCAAATTTGATCAAATAAAAAACAACAACTGCTCAGCCTATCCCAAACATGTACTTTTTCATCATATACTCAGAAATTTCAAATCTACAGATGGCCCAACTTAACATTTTAGGCATCAACAGACTATCAAGGCTTAAGGAGCCTAGGGGAATTGAAACCAAAGCACACAAAATCATTAGCAAACAGCAGGACTGTGTATATCCGACTGTTAGGCACGTTCTAAAGAAGGTTTTTTGGTTTTTTTTTTTTTTTAACAATTTGTGTTTACTTGCATGATAAATTTAAGTGTGCTGACACCATTATGAATTAACTTCATCCAAACTTCATAATATGTGTATTCTATTTTAAACTATTAAGCCACCAGCTATCTTGAACAATTCAAAAGATCAAACCTGCCTTTCACAGTTAATATCTTCTTAATGCACATAGGCTCACTTTGGAAAAGAAACTGCATCATCCTAGAGTAATGGACACTAATACTGGTAAGGGGGTTTGTTGGCAAAGCAGGGAAGATGTTTGCATTTGAAGCAAGAACTCAGAAGAAATTCTACTAGACTGATTCAGTCAAAGGATACATCAGTTTAGTAAAAGATAAACTACTCTATTTCACAGTGTTAAACACAGCTCCTCTTCAGGTAATAGGTCATTCTTTATCACTAGTCATGCAGAACAACAGTTTTTAGAAATTGAAGTAAGGGACAAAGAAAAGGAAGAAGAAAAATGGGCAACGTGTATTTCAAAGTTTCAAGACACGATTGCCTAGAAATTGCTGCACGCATTTGTGGTGGGTTATAATGCACTCTCTTTTGCAGATCCTGTGAGTTACTGTCCAAATCTGCCATCTTTCTCCAAATTATTGTATAATCAGTTTAGTATGTTTTTATCCCCAGCAACTCTGTTTTAAGTCCTATGGTTAAATTTCTGCCTCTAGTCTCTCTTAATTCAATAATTTATCTATACGGGTATATACTACTCTTATTGTGGGGGAGATTGTTCTGATAAATATAAAAACAACTCTATCATCACAGAATCTGAACATGATTTTCAACAAAATAACAGAGTGCTTTAAACTTATTCCAAACTATGTGAGGTTTTCTGATTTTAATTACTGCAGTTTTATAAATTTTAATTTTCTTCTTAAATGAAAAAACTCAAGTTTTGGCCACCTGAGTTTCTTTTCCTCTACCAAATCACTGTGCAAAAAGACTTGTGCGTCTAGCACACTGGGTTTATTTGAAGTGCTACAGTAAAGGTAATGGACCAATCCACTGCCCTCATGCTTTTTATGTTCTAAGATAAAGATAAATAAGCAATTAAATGAATAAACAGTATAGTATGTGGCAGTATTTGCTATAGGAAAACAGACTACTGAATGGGTACAAAGGCACAAAAGTATTTCAGATAAGATGGTGGGAAAAGGTTTTTCTGAAGAATTGGTATTTCCGTATTAAATTAAAAGATATTAGAGTGCAGCTGTATGAAATGCTGCTGACAAGCATTCCTCAGGTACAGGAGACAGCACTACAAATACACCTAGACAGGAACTGATTGGTGCACTTGAAAAAGAGAAAGTCAGTGAGTGAACAATAGAGCTGTGTGTGAATGAGGTTTAAGAATTGACTGGTGAGAGGGTTAAACAGTGTCTATAGGCCAAGGCAAAGGCTGCGGATTTTCCAACTCTTGTCCTACAAAGTTGACAAAACATTTTTGAGTGTGGTCGCAACATGCTTGGACTGGGCTGGAATTTTTAAGAGGATTTCTCCAGTTATAGGGTTGATTATAGACTGGGGAGGCGCAGGCTTGACAGCAGGGAGACCAGAACACAGCTGCTGAAGAGGAACAGCAGCTTCATTGGCACCGATGACAGTGGGAAGTGGTAGAGCAGCCCTTAGAGCCAGAAGGATCATCAAGAGGTTGGTTGGTCATAGAATTTGAAAAAAAAAAAAAAAGAGAGAAACATTAAGTATGACTCTTAGTTGCTTTTTCACCTGTATAGCTAGTTGAAAGTGTCACTATTTATTAATATGAGACAGTCACAGAACAGACTGGTATGAAGATGGTAATAAGAATTATTTCTTGGACATTCACTGGAGATTCCAGTTTAGCTTCAAGTAGAGGTCAGGGTACGTGTAGAAACGCACACCTGGTACAGCAAAGAGTGAATTAACGAGAGAGTTCAGTAGCATCTGATGCTATTTCTGTGGGGACATTAAGGAAGAGAACAGAAACTGAAAATACTTGGGGTACTCCAAATCTAAGAGTGTGTGATGAAAAGGAAAGTCAAGAAAATGCAGAAGGTACAATCTGCAAAGTAAGAGGTAGACCAGAAGAACGTATTTCCAGTTTCTCTGAAGACAAGAGGGCTTGATTTGCTGTGCTTGCTCATTTTTCTGAGGTAAATTCCCCCTCTGCTACCAATTCAGGCTAAGAAGAATTCAGAGCCAGTTCACAGCTGCCTTAACTGTTAAGCCACAGCTTTCATGAAATCACATGAATCCAGAGAAGAAAGTGTTTCCATTCACATAAAAATAGAATTGAAGCCAGGCATGGTGGCACACATCTTTAATCCCAGCACTTAGGAGGCAGAGGCAGGACATGTAGGCCTGTCTTGTCCACATAGCAAGTTCCAGGCCAGTTAGGGATAAAGGGAGATCTTTGTCTCAAAAAATGAAAACAAAACAAAACAAACGAACAAAAAGAGAAATTGAAACTTGGCCATTGGATTTTGCATGGAAAACATTGCTAGTGATCGCAACAGGAATGGACTGGATAGCATGATGAAAAAAAAGAGAGAGAGAGAGAGAGATTGTACACAGTGGTTTAGGGCAGGAATGGGACGGGGCTCAGGGGAGAATTACTGAGTGCCTGAGGGAGCAGGTGAACTTTACTCACTTTCTTTGTAACATTTGTCATCTGCTGACATAGCATTTATTTGGCCTATTTTAGATTTGTAATCTGCTCTCTAAGATACAGGTGAATGAAAAAGAAAATGAATGCATATATTGTTTTCTGTTCATCCTCCATCCCTGCAATTTGCTTCTGGTGTCCTAATTGTATGCATGTCTGAAGGATTAGCATACAATAACGGTTACTAAAAAGTAATATTCGATTTAAGAGTAAGTCATTTACACATTAAAATGATAAGGTATACACAGTGTTTTACACCAGAACTTTCTTTTCAGAAGGCTGAATTTATGGGTTAAAAACACCACCTTGCTTTCCAATTATGAAATTACCACTGGACCACCTGTATAAACTGTGAAGCTTGGATTGTTATTGGTTAATAACAGTGTGATGAAGGAAAGTACTTTCCTTTATTGCAGGCACACACACACATGCACGCTTGTTTGTGTGTGTGTGTGTGTGTGTGTGTGTGTGTGTGTGTGAATTTAAAAATGAAAGTCGACCAGGTGTAGTAGTACATGACTTAAATCCCAGCACTCCAGAGGCGGAGAAAGGCTAAGAGCTTGAGGTCATCCTGGTCTACAAAGTGAGTTCCAGACCAGCCAGGGCTACATAGTGACACTCGGTCTCAAAATAAATTTCATACATAAATAAAAAATAAACACAGTGGAAGGCAACCAAAACTATGTATGTTTTAGATTCATTTTTCTTCTGTTTTTAGATTCACTAACCAAACTTCTCTATTTTCCATTCTATCTCTGCTTTCTTTTAAGATTTTCTATTCTATGATTTTTTCTTCTGGACAATACAGCCTCTAGTGATCCATCTTTTGCTACATTCCCATATCACTAATTGTTCCTTATGACATCTCCCCAAAGATGCACAACCTCTCCAAGGAATCTTTTTGTATCATAGTATACTCACAACAATTATGTGCACATGGAAGTCACTTAACGCATTTTGACTGGTACACGTATAACAAGAATAAATGAATTCAAATGAAGTACAAGCTACCTAAAACTTCCTTCTAACAAGTAATGATACTTTTATCAGCCTTTCCTGGGAGGTCTTTGAGTTTACTTAGTATGTTCAAATGTTTTGGGCTATTTCCTGCTTTACCTCTAATGGCATTTTAAACTTTACAAGGATGGATAAGGCACTAAAGAATTAAATGCTGCAATGTAGGAGTTTAAAAGACATATGAAACGAATCATGATTTAACAAAAGGATTATTCACTTAGCCATGTAGACAGAGATGATTTATAAAAATTCATGTCAGATTTCCAGAATATAAGTGTTATAAAAAATAAGATCTTTCTATGTAAGAGATGTTTGGAATCATATGATAAATTTTTAAAAGACAGAAGAAGACAAGGCTTATTTTAAATAGTAGAAAGCATACATCAAACCCATACTTACTGTCTTCTATGTCCCAACACTGGGTAATTGGGTCCCCATACTTTACATCCTGGCGTCTAGCTCGCCTACGGAAAAAGAATTAAGCTAATTAGATCTTCAGGCATAATTGGACTATAGAAAGGCTTATGTCTAACACTAACATAGGCAGATGCAAACTGTACTTATGTTACTGTTCAACCTAAATGCAGGTCAGTTTTCCCATCATTCTTACATTAATTTAAATTCTTGTGGTAGAAAAGCCCCAACACAACAAATCCTGTTTTGCATTAAGATGATCTGAATTTTATTTAACTACTGTTCTTTTCTTCTAACTTGACAAATTATTCAACAGAACAGGTTGAATACAAACAGAATCCAGGTTTTATGTATATGACACGAAGACAACTATTCTTCCCCTTCTGTCTGTCAAGTCATAATGTACAAAAAAAGTGTAGTGAGTAGGAAAATACTACAAACACAGACACCTCATCATGTACAGATTCAGTGCTATGGAGATTTGATTCAGTAATAAATTAAATACTGTCTGAGATAGAAGTCCAGTTCAATATGGCATAGACAGCTACATATTATTTTAACAGTTTATGTGTACTTCACATATTTTCCTGGTCATAGTGAAAACAATACAATCGATTTCTAAGACGTCACATATTTTCCTTAGAAGAAAGCAATAACTACCGTAATAAAAAAGAAATGCTTCATTTCTGCCTAATCTAAGTATGTTTTATACCTTATGATATACTTCCATCTGTTTTGGCTATTTATATTTTAATTAGAAATTATTTTTAGTCTGTATATAAAAACTTAAGCTTGCACACATAAACTTGCTATTATATGATTTTGATACATGTGCACTTTGAACAATGTGCCAATCTGGTTAAACATACCTGTCTCTTCAAATACTTACTATTTCTTTGCACTAAAATATTCAAAACATTTTCTTCTAGTTTCTTTGAAATGTACAGTGCATTATTCGTATCTCTAGTACCACAACAGGACTGCGTAATCCTATCTAATAGTGTTGCTAAATCCTATGGATCCTTCCCTCCCTCCTTGCTTCTCTTCTCAGTCTACACTCCACTTCAGAGATCAGAGAAACAGCAATAAACTTTCTAGATACCTGGGGTGCTCCCCAGGGACAAGGCTGACCAGTTGACAACCTTGTAAAAGAGTCACCCATTGTATACAGATGTGTAGCCTCTTATGGACATTATGTTAGGTAAGGGAGCACATCACAGTGGCATGCCTGTAAGATCAGAGATACAGTCTTGGGAAATGCAAGAAGAAAAAAATTATGATAGTATAAGGTACATAAGGTCATGAATGTTTTTAAATCTTGGCTTCTTCAGGAACAGGATCAATTAATCAAAGTGAACATTTATTGCCAAGTAATGAGGAGTCTGCTTTTTTGGCTTCTAGAAAAGAATTCCCCAAAGACTCACTAAGATGAGTATATTTTAGGCAGGAAAGTTTAACAAAATGTTGGCAACTTTTAGCTTTTAACTTCTATAATCATATTTACCCACTTATATATAATTTAGGGATTTGATGGAGTATGAAATGTATCTCAATTATGACTAATATTTGTTTTGCATAGCATATACAATCTTTGATTCTTAAAATTTAGAATTTGAAAAGTAAGTATAGTTTTAAAAAGAAAATAAGTACCCTTGTGATAGCGAGACTAACTAATGTCCTCTTTGTTTTTGTTGTTTTTTAAATACTGAAGAATAAGAAAACACTGAGAATTATTTTTTTAAAAAAAAACCACATAATTTGTTATTTTATCTAGAAAAGGATATATTTCTAATGGCACTTTAGAAAATAATGTCACTACAATCTACAAACAAAAATAGTGATTGTAATGTATTTAGCTAGCATCAGGTATATTGACAGTCATTCATATTATTTTTAATTAGTGAACTATTAAAAATAGTCTCAAAAAATTATCTTATATCTTTGTAGAAATTGTACATGTGTGCATAGAATAAACTCATAGCTTAGCTTTCTTGGCTCAAATGAGATTTTTCCAAGAGTATATTAAACAACAAGCTACAAACAGCCAGAGCACATTTGTTTTTGAAGGATGTCCTTGTGACAGAAATTGAAAAATTATAGTCAGTAGAGGAAAAATAAAATTGTACCAAGTCAGTAGATGCACTTTGGGCTGATTCTTTATTTCGACAAACAAAATGTATTTATAAATGGCATGTAAGATAGCAGATATGGCTCTGTACATGTTTTAGAATTAAAGGGAAGGAGCATGGAATAAAAAGTGGTTAGTGAAAGCAATTTGGGGACATTGAGACAAGATGTCACTGTGTAGCTCAGGCTATTCTTGAACACAGGGCACTCCTCCTGCGTCAGCCTTTGGAGTGCTGAGATTACAGCCACGACCCACTATGCCTGGCTACTAAAAATAAAATTTAATGGTGTGTAACATAAATGAAAGGAAATAAACATTTTATCAGAATATTTTTTAATTCCACAATTGAGAATTTCAGAACCATGATTCTAACATTTCGACTTTAATTTTATGTAAAATCAGCAAACAGTTTAATTGTAATACTCCTACAAACCCACTTTTCTTGCTAGTTCTCTTTAACTTAATCTACAGAATGCTTAAGACCTTTGTGTGAGAAAGCCATCATGTTAGAAAGGAGCTTTTGCTGACCTTTTTGAAGTGGGAGCATATCTCGAGCATGCATTTCCATCCCAGGCACAGTAGGGGTCTCTGGCAAGACAGCAGTCTGCACATGCTTTCCCATAAGTGTCGCATCTGTGCAAAGAGAGCTGAACCAAACCATCCCGGGAACCAATGTACAATTGTTGCTGCAAATCAGGCAAAGCAAATGAATTAGAAGCATCTCTTAGATTAGTCATAAGAACTTCCCTTTCTTAAATGTTAGCTCTAAATCTGTTAGCCGGGTGTCCTGCCTGCCCCCTGCAAACACTTACACGGAAATGTAAGGAACAGTCAGGTAAGTCAACTATTTCTACCCTGGTCAGACTGTGGTTGAAAATGTTGACACTGAAATGGACAGTATTCTGTAAAGCTAGGGTAAGCTTGGCAGTAATTTAAGAAGGTCAAAAAACCAGCTGCTAGACTGAGGAATTAAGATGTCAAATTCTTTCTCAGGGGTGGAAAATACACTTTGGTCGGTTATGTCAAGCACAGACACTACAGGCAAGACTGAAGGCATGTCTGTGTCGTGGCTCCCCTCAGGAGGGGTGACTGGACAGTCCTGACACTTTCTTTTGTTTTCAAGTAGCTGTTATCACTTGCTAAGGAAGTAGTGAGCAGTGAAAGAAGATGGGTTACAAGTGGGGAATAAATGTCTAGTATCTCTATGCAGAAATCACAAACAAAGGACTTTAGGATTTGAAAAACCCAGCAGATAAATGACATTTTGAAACTTAGTCCTGAAATTCCCACAGTACTCGCAAGGCACATTTATTTGGATGGAATAATACAAGCAAATAAGTCTCAGCCTATGCCTTCAAAGAACTTACAATCAACCAATTCCAGTGGATCTCTGTAAGCTTTAAATAAAGGAAAATCTCAGAGAAACAGCCACTAGCTTAAAAAGCATGCAGGTGCTCGATCTAGAGAAACTTGTCTGATACTTTTATTGTCCATTAATTCTGTTAAGATTTCTATGTTACTAAAGATAGCAAATGCTGTTTTTCCGAAATTCTCTTAAGTATTCAAGTGACTTTACCTTCACTCGTTTCTCTCTTATTTCAGAGGCCTGTGGCTTTTTTTCTTTGTGATATCTTTATTTAAATTAAATGCCATTTTAGACTTTTCTTCCTTTCTATTATTATCTATTTACCTTTTGATGTGTACAAGGAATAAGAGGTAACTTAAAAGCAGCAAAACCATACAATTAAGGCTCTCCTTTTTCTACTCCACCTGCCATGCCTGGGCATACAGAGCCGTCATCCACCCAGGTATGTAGGACAGAAATCCAGCATTTGTTCCTGACCCTTCTTCTCTTTTCATATTCATTCTCTCCCCATGCCATTTCCATTCTCTCACAGAATTCCAATCTCTTTCCTCCTCTCCCATTCTCCTCCCATGGCTGCTGGTTTGGTATTTTCTTTTCTGCACTGCTTGTATGGGTCCTAAGTCTTTCCTGACCTCAGCCTTCTTTCCTCACATCCCCCACCTCTGCAAAAGAACCCAGTCTATCTTCCACACAGCCAAATTAGACAGATCTTTCTGAAAAGGTAGTCTTATCCTTACACTTCTTAAAACCTCTAATGGCTTTTGTCCTTAAGATAAGCTGTTAAGAGGACAGGTAAGGATATGGCTAATGGTACCCAGGCTTATTCTCCACATTCATTTCTAGCTTCCTTGTACTTTAAACACCCATACATCTTGGTTCAAATGCTACTTCAACTTACTACAACCTGCTGTGGTCTGTCATTCTTCACATCCTTGCTCCTCCTTCCCTTCCTCCGTTTTACCTATCTGGTTAACTCTAACATCCTCTGTGACCCAGTTTGTCTTTTTCCTTTTCAGGATTCCTTCTCTCCTGTCTCTGCTGTGTGTTTCCTGTCTGCTCTACATGTGTGGTGTGCTTCTTCCTCTTTCAGCTCTACCTAGAGGTTACTGTTATTCATTCCTTTCTTTACTTTCAAAGCACAGTATTCACACTTCAAGGAAAAAAAAAAAAAGTAAATGAGTAAGCATACCCATGGAAACAACATGAGAAATGAACCTAATTGAACTTTCACCCAATGCTTTTGTTATCATACTTGGAATAATAAGTCTGAATCTTTTAAGACAATTGAGAGTTGGAGTACCACACCAAGGGAAGCTAATCACATTATGGATATTTATCATTATGATAATTAGCTACCATTAACACTTAAGGTTGCTTTGCTTAAAACAATGTCATGAAGCATTCTATTAAAACTCACAACAGGCTGTGGATCTATCTCAGTGACAAAAGAGGTACAGCATTTGCCCAGCATGTTCAGTCCCCAACACCATGGCAAGCAAATAGGCAACAACAAAAGAAAACCAGCTTTTGCTCATGCCTATCAATACAAGTCTTAGGAGACTGAGTGAGAATTTTGAGTTCCAGGTCATCCTGAAATATTCAGAAAGATGATGCCTGTCCCTGGCTATCATAGTTTATAGTTGAATTCTTAGACCGCCTAATTAAAAACCCCTTTTTAATGTTTAGGATTGGTATTTTAAATATATTTCTTGTGTCTTAAACAGAAATACAAATGACCAGAAACCATCTTATTTTTTAAGAACCAAAGTGATGCATATTATTCACTTAATTAATTAGTCTCCATTCTCCCACACAAGACTGAAAAATGGTCTTTAATCAACAGGAAGAAAACAAATAATCCTAACTTTCTACATTATTTACTATTAAACTTTCAGTTTTTAGTTTCAATGGATTTTCCAAATGAACTTTGAATCAGGCAAGTTCAGGCTATTACAGTTAATTGTTAAACAAAAATTACAATGTACCTGCTTCAGAGACAACTCCATGTTCAAGATGGCTGTTGGATGCTGAAAATAGAAGTTAAATATTAATCAATAGTGATAACCATTCACAGGCTTTATATTAATCAAATATTCCTGTGGTAAATGTCCAGGCTATGTGGGGAATAAAGGATCTTATTGTTTGCTATTTCCTTCCATTGTGGGTGGATTCACTCTTTACAAAAATGAGGAAAATACATAAAGCATTTTATTAAGGAAAATCTAGCTAATTGTATGAAGAAACACTGCGTTGAAAATAGTTCTCAGCTGTTTAAAAGTTTTCTCCTTTGCTACAAATTTATTGATCTAACTGTTTCAATATAATTCAGTCTAGAGCTGAAAAGAACACCTCCATAATTATTTATTACCCCTTTCTGCGCTTCCTTATATCTTAGGTTCAACACTTGTTCAAGTAGCAGAGCTTTGACAGTTATAGTTTTGTTTATTAATGACCATATTTCTTATGAGGTACTACAAGATACCACTTCACGATTTCAAGATATGGGCCAGATTTTTATTTGTAATAAAAATAAAGGCATGAACATAAAAGCTACCAAACAAAGAAACAGACAATTAAAAAAAAATTCCTGCATCTATCATCTACCTAGTATTTATGCATTTATCCCCTGTATTTACTAGTTTACAAACAGCAGTAGATGTCAGATCCATGAAAGAAAAATTTTAAATGAGAAATGTCTATTCAATTTTTTTTACTGTTGTTCCTAATTTTAAAATTATGGACAAACTAATCAGATTATTTTGAGGTATTTTTGAAAAAAAAGACAAAATTCTAAAAATAGGAAAAGAAGAAGAGATAAGAAGAGAGGAGAGCAGGGGAGGGGGAGGGGAGAGAAGACAGGAGAGGGGAGGGCAGAGGACGAGGGGAGCGGATGGGAGGGGAGCGGATGGGAGGGGAAGAGGAGGGGCAGGGGAGGAGGACAGGGTGTGGAAGGTCAGAGGGGACAAGGGAATAAAAGGAGGCTGACATTGAAATCCAGGCATGGATTGCTTGCTTATGAAAGTACCCCAGGATTTATCACCAGCACCAAAAAGAACAAAAAGGGAAGGAGGAGGATGGGGGGGGCGTGGGGAGGAAGAGGAAGGGGAGGAGGAGGAGGGACAAATCTGTGGTCTTTGTTGATCACATGATAGTAGTAAAGCCAAACACTTTGTCTTGACTCCATCTGTCTAATAATCATTGAATGAGACTTGTTTGAGGAGCTTAAGCATGTGATAGGGACTTTATCTAAGCCTGGGTTTCACCTTGTGTTTGACATTAGCTTTTCCTTTTGGAACCACCCAAGACTTTTGTTTTCCTAGAGGCCAGATAGCAGGTCTTGTTCTGCTTAACTTCTTGGCCACTATTATCATCACAATGTAAACAGGTTCCTTTGGAACCCAGCAGTTAATTAACTTTAGCCCTTCTCTGTGGAGGGCTCTACTCTCTCCAGGCAATAGATGCTTACATGGAAGCAGCTTTTAATAAACTTTCTTAACAACAACAAAAAAAACCATAAAATAACATATTTTCTAAGATATGTAATTTTATTTCTAATGTTTTTTATTTTTCAGGGAAAAATGTTAAATACTGCCCAGTAGTTACAAGAATGCCACACTCAGATCTATTTATTGTGAAAAGCTGAAGACATTCTTAAAATCTAGAGAACACTTCCTCTGGATCCATTAACTTCTTATGAGAAGTGAGAGGAATTTAGCATATATGACTCACAAGCCTGCAACTTTTTTTAATTTCCTTATAGAGAAGCAGGGTTCCTATAGATGATTTATAAACTTTTCCAGTTTGCTCAAGTTCATTTGGGGAAAAATTACAAAGTAACATTTATAAAGTAGAAAAGCATCTGGATAGCAAAAGAAACCCCAGGCTTTCATTTAATGTGGCAATTTGTCTGACTATATACTTCGAGAATGCAGTAATGAGAGGCAATCCCAGGAGCTTCAGTTCAGTGGTATTCAGCAGGGAAAGGTGAGTGCCATTCTTTCTTGCATGTAAAACTTTTTCCAATGCTTAGGGCAAAGAAGAAAAAAAATGAAGCTTATTTTAAAGACTTTTGCAGGAAAAGTGGACTAGGCAAACACACCCAATAAGTAGGATTTAAGTAGTAGTAGTAGTAGTAGTAGTAGTAGTAGTAGTAGTAGTTCTTTTGGTCTGGAACTCTGGGCCCTCTTACCTTGAATACCTGCAATTCTTCCAATACAACCTCTTCCATATGCCACTTCTCCTTGGAAATGCTCACAACTTTAAGGACTGTTCCTATGTCTGAAAATAAAGATACAGAAACACAAACTCAGAATCCCATTATTTCTATTTCAGTATTTCATTGGACACATTCCTAGAAGTCTGCAAATTATACCCCTCACTTATTCTTTAGACGGTTTTGAAGAAATCAGCCCCCAAAATACCTGTGAGAAATAAAGGCTACTGTATATGATATTGTGCTTTTGAAATGCTACAGCTTTTAACTATTAGAATAGAAACCTGTTAAGAGAATAATAGGTATGTATTGAGTACATTTGTACCTACATGTATATGATTAATTCAAATATTGGTTGAAATAACGAGGGTGAAACAAATTTTTGATTCTCATTTTTTTAAAATCAAACTATTTTAAAATAAAACATCATAAATGGATTTATTTCTGCAATAAAAATTTATTCAATCCTTATATCCAATATATTATAAAAATATAAGAAACTAAGACATATACTGATAGTTGCAGAAAACCAGAAGTCCTCTGAAACTGCTGCTGATCTCAGTCCTTTGAGACAGCTACTAACCTTATCTGTTCATCACACCCAGATCCAGATCAGCCACTCCCAGAACTCAGGGGGAACCATTTGAAACAGGTTGTTGCTCTAGATAGCATGTCCTGCTTGAGCAAGTGGCTTCAGAAAAATTCTGACACTTAAATGGTGGACCCCATTAAATGGCGGCTGCATCCTTTCTTCATCCTCTAGTCCCTACATGATCTCAGATCCTCCCCATTCACAGTACAGTTTCTTCCATCTTGCTGGAAGGCTGCTGCTGTCACTCACTATGCTTGAATAAACCCAGTCTTGTCCTGTTGAAGGTCTAGCATTGGTCCATTTTCCCAACTCTACTTTCCTTCCTGCTCTCTAAATTTTAACACATAATATTTTAATCAAGTTAACAAGTGAATCAGAAATTATTAGTCATTTTGCATGAGCAAAATGTAAGCTCTTCAGATATATTCTGCTTTCAAAATCATTTTTAATGGGTTAAAAATTTGGTTTTTTTCCCCCCCAAATTATTTCAGTTCAAATTTAAAAGATAATACAAGGTAACAATATAAAACAAAAATTTATGCCTAGGAAAGATATCTCGACTACATCATCTTATAATGAAGTCCTACAATTCATCAGGCTAGTATAGACAGACAATCAAAAGAACACTAGAAAAACTTAAAAAAAATTAAAATCCCACTTTGTAATTTTTTTGTTTCAAAGTATGCTTTTAAGCTTCTGGTTAGTGGAGCTCAGAATATAGTAATGTCACAAAATGAAGAAAATAGTCTGGATTCTTTAATTTTGTTTTTTTTTTTTGGTAACAATGGAATGTTTGAGGCATGTTAAATATACATTTTTTAAACGTCAAAATTTAAAAAAAATCACTGTAGTTTTCTCAGTAAAAGTTCAGTAGTGCCATCTAGTGGCTGAAGTCTGCTTATGGCAGTGAAGTGGTAAGGACCTAGGAGTGAGTTTCAGCTGGACAGTGCAAATTAAATTTAGCTCAAGAGAATTAATAAAAGGCTAATTAAAGTTCTGACACTTAAATGGCCAACAATGAAGTCTTGGAAACTGAATTTTCTTTATTTGACTGGGTTTTGCACTTGTGCTTTGTAATATAATCAGGTTTGACAGCTGGTGCCCAAAGGAACTTTTAGTTATCACACAAGGCTACCTCATATGTCTAACTTCTGAAAATTCATTATAGTCTTTCAAAATTAAATAATTATAAGTTTTTCACATTCTTAAAAACTTACCATTGAAAATATCTAGTTTAAAAATGCATTATTTTCTACTTCTGAAATGTTCAGTCCATTAAGTAACATACATTATCTAGAATGCTATTTTAATGGTATGTGTTATCTTTACTTCTACTAAAATTCACACTAGAAAAAAATAATAAATAAAATTATTCTTATTTTGAGATTCATCAAATAAACAATAATTATTTCTTAATATTTCCCTCTGTTTTTACACAATGCCTCTCTGTATATAGTCAAGGTAGTCTTAGACTTATGATCCTCCTGCCTGCACCTCATAAATGCTGGGATTATAGGCATGCAGTGCCACACCTAACTGAAAGCATGTTGTTTTGGTCATTTTAAAGTGACAAAGTTAAATAAAATTTTTAAAAAGGTAGGGGGTGGCTGGAGAGATGGCTCAGCAGTTAAGTGCACTGAACGCTCTTGCAGAGGACCCAGGTTGGATTCCAAGCACCCACATGGCATCTATGAACCGTCCTTAACTCCAGTTGCAGGGGAATCTGAAGCCCTCTTCTGACCTCCAAGGCATTGCACAACACGGGTGCACTCGCATACATGCAGGCAACGCACTCATACGCATAAAATACAAATAATAAATAAAATAAAAAAATAAAGTGACAAAGTTGATAGAGGAAAGAAAGATAAGAAAGTAAAAATTAAGGAAAAAATAAGAAAAGAAGGAAAAAAGAAAGCTTTAATGAGATTCACAAAATATAATTTTAATCAACAAAATTCAACAACAAGAAAAACAATCTCCAAGAAGTTTTATTTGAAACTATTTACAAAATAATGCTTAATGCCTCTGAAAAGTTGTCGTAAGTCCAAGTGGTTGGTGATTCCCTCAGTCAGGTGAATGGAGTGCAGTGGATAGAGTGTACCCAGAACTCTTACAGGTAGGAAAAGTTGGAGTGTGAAAGTGGAGGCATTGCTTCCCTTTGCTGAATTTTAGTGTACAGTGATTGGACAGACAAGCATTGAGTACCAAATCTAGAGTAGTCTCATGGAAGTTATAATGTGTAGATGTATTTCAAAATCTCAGAATAGGTGGGAGATATTTATGATTATTATTTAAAAGCATGGCCTATATAATTTTGAGATATCGGTAAGGTATTAACTAATAATTATTGACATTGACTTTATTTTCACATATTTTGGAAATTTCTTTTTTTAATAATTTATTTATTATTTTAATTTTATGTGTATGAATACACTGCCTGCATGCATGCAAGTGCACCTGTGTCCTGCAATGCTCTTGGAAGCCTCAGATCCCCAGCCATGTGGGTGCTGGAAACCAAACCCAAGTCCTCTGCAAGAGCAGCCAGTGCTCTCAACTGCTGAGCCATCTCTCCAGCCCCAGTATTTTGGAAATTTCTATCTTCATCCATTATTGAAAACTGTTTGAATGAAAGTTTAGTCTGAGCTTACCTGTGCCAAGAAACATGACATCATACTGGCCGTCTTCAGCCACTACATGATCCACCACTATCTGCGTCAGTCTATAGTCCACATTGATTCGTTTGAAGGTTGGTACCCCAGCTGCTGGGTACACTGCCTTGTACATCACTGGATGCCGTTTTATGAAACTGATGACATCGTCTGGAAAGTCTCGGGTAGATTTAATCAGCGGGTCATATGTTTTGCTTGGACACTGAAAGAAAGTGTACAGGAGTTAAAACATCGTACATGTATCTGAAAAATACTTCCAATAAAAGTTTTAATGTGTGGCACAGATAATATTAAATAGATGACAGAGTCAATATGGAATCTTATGCTTGTGCAAGTAAATGCAGTGAACCTCTTAATATGCTTAAATCTGATTTCCTCTATAAAAAAATTTCAAAATTATATCCTTTTATCTCTATTTTCCAAAGTTTCTACAGTGTGATCTTTCTTCCACAAGATTGTTGTTTTGTTTAAAGATGACTTTTTCTAAGCCAGCGGGCTGATGCATCCCTTAATCCCAGCACTCAGAAAGTGGAAACAGGAGGATCCGACCTCCTGGACAGCCTAGAATAATACTGAATTTAAGGCTAGTTTGGGTTATTTAATGAGCCACATTCCCCAACTCATTCATCATCAGAAAAATTTTCTAATGAGAGTTCTTGAAATTTAAGTTTAAGAAATTATTAGGAGACTAACTTAAAACATAATAATGTATGGCAAATCTTTATTTTCAATTTTCTTTGAATAACTTCAGGATTTCATTTCAATTGAAACAACATTAAGGTACAATAAAAAATGTATATAATAGGCCCAATTGTATAAATACCTTAAATATTCGTTCACTAAAATAAGTTATTATCATGTGATTTAGCAGGAACGCGCAAAGTAAGAATAATTCCTTCCAGTAGAATTTTTCTTACTGCCAAGCTATTGAAGGCCTTTCCACTGGGGGAAAACATACAGACTTAGCATTTGAATAAAATTTAATCATCAAGGTCGAAATGGTTCATTATGTAAAACAAAATCCTTGCTCTCTAAAGCTAAGAGGTTTTTTTGTTTGTTCTTGTTTGGTAAATGCTACTAGGGCACTAGTTCTATCTCAGTGTTATTAAATTTTGACCTCGGACCTACTTAAAAAAAAAAAAAAGGAACAAATCAACAGGTCACAAAAATTAGCTTGAAAAGGGCTTTGATGGTTTTAAGTTATAATTATATACTTTTATTACAATTGCTGTGAAAATTTAATGCTATAAACCATTCATTCAAATGGTCTTCCCCTAAAAGACCTGTGAAGAAACCCTCAGGCATTTTTCTACTTCTACCATAGAACTGCTTCCCCTGACTTTGTCTGTTAAATAAACAGTTGGCATAACCTGCCCTCTGGTGGTAACAATTAAAAGCTCAACAGCATAAATTCACAGAATTTGATGTGCGATTATCCAAAATTAGCAAGAAATCACTTTTCAATACCTTTTTCAGACTGTATACCATCTCATATCCTAAATTTAACTGATCCTTCAAAAATCTCATTCTAGGAAGTTATCTTAGATAAAATGACAATGACATCACATTTGGATTTTTCATGGATGAACAAATTATTTTGGAATAAAATTTATAGTTAATAGATATGGATATATAGAACAATGCAATTAGAGAAAGCTTTCATGAAAAGCCTCTACTGAAAAATGAAATAAAAACCAAACACTGAACAAAACACTAAATTTATCTAAAATGGTGAGATGGAATAGAGTTTGCACAACAGAAAGCCATTTATACTAGAAAGTAACTAGAATCAAACCACACTTCTCAGAGTTCAAGAGGGTCATTGTTAGCTAAAGATTCTGGAGTTAGTGATGATACATAGCTCTCACCCCAAGTTTCATACTAATAAAATCATAATGAAGCATTGTAAAGTAGAACATCAACCGATACTGAAATTGAAACAAATCTTTTAGTGATTTTCTAATTAATTTGAGAGTATCTATCTTTTACAAAAGTCTTGTATGTCTTTTATTAAGAAATCCATCCTTTCCTGATGTTTAATTATTTGTCCCCATTCTGTAGGAAAGAGATTAGAAATGTCCTACATCATTAGCCATTTGGGACTTATTTAGCTTATCCTTAAAAGGATGTTGGTCTAAAGACTGAAGGCTGTGTGTACAATCTGTCAACTTGATAGTGGAAAGAACCTCTTTTAAGGAGATTAAGTGATACTAAAAATAGATGCCAACTCAAGATAATGCAAAGTCCTTGCCCAATTACTGATTGCATATCTGAATGTTAATCAAAGATCATTTCATAGTGGGCTAATATCTCATAATGCATGCTGGTCAGTATGGTTGGTTTGTCATTAAAATCAAAGCAAAAACAAGATCTGGCCTGTATTACAGTTTTGAAACAGCCCTTCAATTTTTGTGAAAAACATTTCCTTTGTCTTTGCAACAATAGCAAGCAATAACCAGAATTTCAAAGGAAATAGTATCATGACATTCAAGTCACAATGTTCGATGTCAAATTTTTAAATAATTACATATTTTAATGTAAGATAGTACAATGACATGAAGACATAAACACTTAGCAAACATAAATACGACAACTTTCCTCATTACTTCCTCTGACAAAAAATTTGCAAGTAAGAAAGCTAAGGGATTAAAAGACAGGAGAGGAAGAAAACTTGGTTTCTACTGGCTATTAGCGAATGAACTTTGGAAATACATTTTCTTCTTATGGCAGCTTCTCCTTGTGGCACTCTGCCAGTGTTTGACTAAGATTCTCCTCCCCTCATTGCTAGGGGTGATCTCAGGTCCTCATCACTGTGCTTGCACAAATGCAAGTGATTTGGGAGTGTCACTCCCTGAGGTTTAAGACAGGACAGTATGAACCAAATAATGTTGTTTCAGTACATTCAATCCAGAGGAGTGCTTGCTTTGATATAATATAGTTGTGGAGCACACAGTCTTGAACACAGCTGGAAATGCCATGCAGCCTGCTCAGGTAAAATCAGGAAAGAAAGGCCTGTGAAGTGAAACCAAAAAGTGTAAAGAGACACTATATGGACAGCAAAAGCCCTATCTTATTATTAATTTTTCTTTAAAAATTTCTGAAACAATGTCCTATTGTGTCTATACAACTAATACCCATGCATTAAATGTGGGATGTGTGTGTTTTTTAAAATTTGTCACTATTATCGTAATGCACATAACTACCCCATCCCACACAGAGCCTTTTGTTTCCTCCTGCAGTTTTCTAATATTTACCTAACTTCCACCAATTTAGCTCCTGTGAATGCAGGAATTCTGGCTGTGTTTGTACTTATGTTTGTGAAAAACTCTTAAGACAATTCAAAATCCGAGAGAAGAAGAAATAAATATAATAGAAAACTACTAGTCAAACTTTCAATTGTCAGTATATTGCTGAATCATTCCATCGCAAAAGCTGAAGAGAAAAGGAATCTGCCTAGGCAAACCCTGAGATGCAAGGACACAGCCAAGGGCAGCAAGCCCTGCACAGATTGCCACACTGGGCTAGGTGTTCCTGTTATGCCTGGCACATCTGGGTGTTTGTGTAGGACCTTTAGGAGGGCAGTGGGAAACAGCGGATAAGAGAGAAGAAAAATGCTTTTTATTCAACGATAGAACTTTACCCCTTGGCAAGGCACCAGACAGCTGTTAAAAGTTTCTTCTTTTACTGCCTGCCGCAGGCTTTTTCTACAAGTCTCAATTTCCTTTTAAACAAATCAGAGGAATAACTAGTGCGAGGGAAGTCATGGCAAAATAAGACCAAACCAGGCTTTAACTTCTGGGAAACTGGGGAAATAGGATATTTTACAAATGATATAGAAAGGACGTCTGATTTGTTAAAATTTGAAAATACAGATTTTGTAAGTGGCGTCTTATCCATCAAAGGTGGATTATCCTTCTAAGCACCTGCCCAAAATAGGTATGGGCAAGAAAAGACCTTATATTCAAAATGAGAGGGGTGGAGATTTGCATTTATATATATATACATATATATATATATAATGATTTAAAAGCTATAAATTTATGGATCTCTCTGTCTCTGTCTTTCTCTGTCTCTCTGTCTCTCTCTCTCCCTCACTTTCTTTCTCTTTTTCTCTCTTTCCTCCTATTCAGATTTCCTTTCTCTTACAGAAATGTCTGTGACAGAACAATCAAAACATTATTGAACAGAGTATGTTGGCATTTGCAGGACCCCATTTTAAAAGCAAAAGTCATCCCCATAAAACACCTGAAGGCCAGATGGAAAGGTGAATGCACGCTGAAAATTCATTTCCTCTCAAGGTTTTGGAGAAGCATAGCCTACATACAGTTGTATGGATTAGAGTGATATCTGTCATTCCTTCAGAAGAATGCCATGGTGATACTTGAAATATAGCTCCATTTCAAACTTTTGAACCAAGAAATTCACAGAATTCTCACACTATTGGCACAACTTTAAAAACAGGTATCTTCCTTTAATCCCAGCACTCGAGAGGCAGAGGCAGGCAGATCACTGTGAGTTCAAGGCCAGCCTGGACTACACAGCAAATTCCAGGCCAGCTGGGGCTGCAGGGAGATCCTGTCTCATAAAAAAAGTATCTGCTGGTGGAGAGATGGCTCAGCAGTTAAGAGCACTGGCTGCTTTTGCAGAGGACCCTGATTCAGTTCCCAGCATCCATATGGCAGCTAACAACCACCTGTAACTCCAATTTCAGATCTGTCACCCTCCTCTGGTTTCTGTGGGCACTGCACACACATGGTGCACTTACATGCATGCAGGCAAAACATTCATACATGTAAAAAATTAAAAATTAAAAACTACATATAAATAGGTTTCACTATCATTTATTTGACTACTAATAATTAAAATGTGTTTATAATTGACCAATGTTCACATAATAAAATAACATTATAAAATCAAGCATAGTGTCATGACTACTTCCCTTTAGATCTTACCAAGTAATAGAGGATGACTTAGGCTAGTCATGTATTTTGATAATTAAAATTAATGATAAATAATTTAACATAAAAATGTGTACAAGGAAATTAAAAAGTGAATTACTTGTTTTATAAATTTATAAATTTGAAAACTAGGTCAGAAAATTTAAGGATCGTATGACATGTGTTTCCTAAATATTTTAACTTTAAAAGCCAATACTTTCTTTTCACTGCTTGATAGGAAAATTGCTTAAAGCTGAAAGTCACT